TCCCCCCGCTGCTGCTGCTGCTGCTGCTGCTGCTGCTGCTGCTGCTGCTGCTGCTTGGGGTCCGGGAGGCAGTAAGCCGAAGTGAGGGCGTCTTCGTAAAGCAGCGGGGGATCGTACATGACAACGATCCCAGCATTTTGATTTCGGTGGAGAGTTTGGATTCTCTGGAGAGAAGAAAGGCCCAGGAGCACGCTGCTGCTGCTGCTGCCGCTGCTGCTGTCGTGCTGCAGCTGCTGCTGCCGCCAGCCCCGCAGCCCCAGCGACAGACACAGCAGCAGCAGCGCAGCAGCCCCACACCCCACACTCAGCCACATGGCCCAGTCCAGGGCCCGCTCGCTGGCCTGCAGCACTTGAGCGGAAGCAGCTTTTACAGAACTCCGGGCCTTTTTGAAGCTGCTGCGAGCAGCAGCAGCACTTTCTCCGAGGCCCTGCAGCAGCACGGAGCTCGAGCGCTGCCCGGGGGGCCCCTCCTGCTGCTGCTGCTGCTGCTGCTGCGCAGAACGGGCTCCGGGGGGCCCCGGGGGGCCCCCGGGGGCCCCGGGGGCCCCTGCTGCTGCTGCGCGGGGGGCCCCCGGGCTGGGGGGGCCCCCGGGGGGCCCCCCGGGGGGGCCCCCCTCCGGAGGGTACTGCCCCTCCCGCAGCCCACTCGCCTCCGAAAAGCCCTCGGGGTCCGCCCCCGCGAAGGGCCCCTCGGGGGCCTCGGAGGGCCCCGGGAAAAAGCTGCTGCTGGGGGCCCCGTACTCGCCGGGGGGCCCCTGGGGGGCCCCCGGGGGGCCCCCGGGGGCCCCCAGCGGGCCCTCCGAGGGGCCCCCCGGCCCCCCCTCGCGGCCCTCCACCTCGATGTAGTGCGGACTCGGGTCTGCGCGCGAACTGGGCATTGTTGCACGCAGCAGCAGCAGCAGCAGCAGCAGCAGCAGCAGCAGCAGCAGCAGGAGCAGCAGGAGCAGCAAGGCGCTTTGCAGGCTAAAAAGGAAAGCTACGAAAAGCCGAAATAAAGCTAAGACCGATTGCAGTTCAAGAGTTGTGCAACTGAGAGTTGTTGTGGCGGCTGCAGCGCAAACGGCTGCGCAGCAGCAGCACTGCCGCGCGCCGCTGCTGCCCTGCAGCACCTGCTGCTGCTGCTGCTGCTGCTGCTGCTGCGCCTTTCCGCGTGTCAGCTAAGTTGAAACTTGAATTTTAATTCTTTTTTTGACTCTAAAATTCACGAAGTTCAATGGGGACGAAGACGCGAGAGCTTCCGCCCGCTCGCGGCGCCTCCGCGCAGGCTGAGACCACTGGACAGGCAAGGAACGCCGCGCGAACCCTCACGCGACGCTCAAATCGCGGAAACCTCGCGCGAAAAGGACTTTTTTGAATAACAATTGAATTATGTCACATTTTAATTCCACGAAACGCGAGAAAAACCGGAAAAAACGCCGCGGATCGAGCCGCGTTCCGCGGCGCGCCGCGAGTGACCTGGCTGCGAAAGACACTTGCAAATAGCGGGATTCAACTGCACTTCGAAATAAAGATTTGAATGAAATGTTTGAAATGCAAAAACGGAAAGTTTCCAACTATTCAAGTTTCGCGTTCCTGCTGTGCTGTGCGTACACCCGAGCGCCGCCAGTGCGCACGCAAGTTCAACTTGAACAGCTCCCGATCCTTCACTTAGAGCTTTTGCAATAATTTCAGAATGGAAGATCTTCACTTTTCTTGCCTTTTAAAGGCTCTTTTCTTTTCACTTTTCCTTTTTCCGTCGCTTTCTTCCTGCGAGCCGCTCGGGAAAAATGAGCTCGCGGAGCCCGCGGCGGCCGGCCTGCCGCTTTCGCGCTTCGCGCAGGCCAGAGGTACTCCGATCTTCAGTTAATTATTTCATTTATTTCTTTTATTTCCTTTATTATCACTTCTTTTATTTCTTTCATTTCTTTTATTTCAAAAACTCGTTTTAAATCCCCCGGGTTGGCTGCAGAGCGCTTTCTCGGCGCCGTCGCCAGGGGGGCCCTGACTGGAGCCCTCGGGACTTTGGCAGGGGCCCCCGTGGCCGGGATGGGAGCAGCAGCGGGGCTTCCCGCTGCTGCTGCTGCTGCTGCTCCTGCTGCTGCTCCTGCTGCAGCAGCAGGCGTTCCTGCTGCAGCTCCGGAAGCTGCTGCTGCTGCTGCAGCAGCAGGGGTGCCGCCAGTGGACCTGGACGCGATCGTGAGGGTTTTGGAAAGGCGCTTCAAGTTGCCGCCGCGTCGAAACCCCAAACCCTAAACCCTAAACCCTAAACCCTAAACCCTCGCGCTTCAGGCCGCAGACCAGGAGGCGCTGGACGAGGAAATCGAAAAGAGTAATTCCGCTCAAAACAAAAACTCTTTTATTTTTATTTATTTGTTTTATTTATTTGTTTTTTTGCAGCAACAAAACTCGGAAACAAACTCAAAGAAGCTGTTGATGTAATTTTCCAAACTCAAAAATAATTCTTTTTTTCAGTTTCCCAAACTCCATTTGCTTCCAGATGCTGTCCGCAGCCACTCAGTCCCACGTCCGCAAGGTGCGCCTCCTGCTGCTGCTGCTGCTGCTGCTGCTGCTGCTGCAGCTGCAGCTGCTGCTGCTGCTGCTGCAGTTTGTTGACTTGAATCCGCGGAAAAGACGGGTTCTTTTAATTTTCGATTTCGGAGTTACTTCTGAGGGTTTTAATAATTAAATGCACTTCTTTTGGCCTCATTTTTGCTGCTCTTTGCTGCACTTTTGCTGCTGTTTGCTGCACTTTTTGCTGCTGTTTGCTGCTCTTTTGCTGCTGTTTGCTGCACTTTTGCTGCTGTTTTGCTGCTCTTTTTGCTGTTTGCAAATTACTTTTGCTGCTCAGGGAGTGGACTACTCGGCCTCAGTGCTGCAGCCGCCGCCGCCGCCCGAAGCGCAAACGGTAATTTGGAAAGCAGCAGCAGCAGCAGCAGCAGCAGCTGCAGCAGCAGCAACTTGCACAGGGCCTGGAGCTGGCGGCAGCAGCAGCTCGTGGGTCTTCGAGGCTGCATGCGAGCTGAAGCTGAATAAAATGGAACAAAATAAACGATTTTAATTCATTTAATTTATTTAATTCAATTAATTTAATTAATTTAATTTATTTATTTTAATTGTTTCTCTTTTCCAGCTCAAGACTCGCAGTACACCGCGCCGGTGATCATTTTGCTGCCGCCGGAGCCGACGCCCACGTGGGTGGAACTTGAAAATGGAATTTGAAAAAAAATGTCAAAAAGACCCAAAAACCGAATTTATAGATCAAAAAAACAAAATAAATTCGAAAATTCCACTTTTAATTTCCCAAAATGCTTTTATTTTGCTGCTTTCCAGAGAAAAACTGGAATTTGCAAGAGCCGTGGCTTGCCTCGGAAAGCTGAACTCCCCCGAAATGCGGGAGGCCCGGAGCGCCGAGTTGGCGGAAATGGCCGCAATAAAAGGAAAGACGAAGTCCGAGTTGCAAAGAGAAGTCGAAGAAACCAAAGAAGAACTTTCCAAAGTACTTGCTGCTGCTGCTGCTGCTGCTGCTGCTGCTGCTGCTGCTGCTGCTGCTGCTGCTGCTGCGGGTGTTGGTGTTGCTGCGGGGCGCCGTTTGCCGGACTTTCTGCTGCTCTTTTTCTCTTCTTTTGGATTTCTTGTTTTTGCTTTTAAATGGCTAGACTAGAACCTGCTGCTGCTGCTGCTGCAGCAGCAGCAGCAGCAGCAGCAGGTTGTAGTCTTCGTGAAGTTCCTTTTTCTCCTTGTGCTGCAGTCTTTTGAATTTAAATTCTTTAAATTAATTTCCTAAAGTGCCACTTTTGCTGCTGCTCCCAAACTGCTGCCTCCGCTGCTGCTGCGTCTTCTGCTGCTCATCCTCTTCGCCTGAAAACACGAAATGCATGAAATGAATCCCAGCAATTTGATGCATTTGATCAACTTAATTTAATTAATTAAATTAAATTAAATTAAATTAATTAAATTAAATTAAATTAATTAATTACTTCTTCGCACTTCAGAGCAAAGCCGACAGAAGAAGAGTTCAGCAAGAGCTGCGGCAAGTGGCTTCGAACGCCATCGAGGGCTCTGCGGTGAGAGTTGAATTTCTTTTCATTTTATTTTTAATTTATTTTAATTAATTTAATTATTTAATTAATTTAATTAATTTAATTTATTTAATTCATTTGCTTCTTTTTGGAAGCTAAAGAGCCACTGCTGCTTTGTTGCGGAAAGTGAATGTCTTTTGCTGCACTTTTGGTTTTAAATTTGAACTTTATAAATTTTTAACAAAACAAATAATAAAAAAGGCAGCAAAAAAAGGCACTTTGCTGCTTGTTTGCTGCTGCTGAAGCAGCACTTCTTGCTGCAGCTGCTGCTGCTGCGCTGCAGCAAAACTTTGAATTGCTTTCCCACTTTTGCTGCTGCTGCAGTCCCAGGCCGACGTTTTGTTTCTCAAACACGACTTGCAACTGGCTGACGAGAAGATAACAATTTATTTGGACAAGTTGACTCGGCTGGAGCAGAAGCTTTCGCGGCTGCAGCAGCAGCAGCAGCAGCAGCAGCAAGCAGCAGCAGCGGAGGAGGCAGAGGCCGAGGAGGAGCAGCAGCAAGAATTCGAAAAACCCAAAAAGACAAAAAAACAAAAAAAGAAATCCAGAAGACTTCAGGAAAAAGCTGCGAAGCAAAAAGACAGAAAAAATAAAACTGCAGCAAAACCCGCCAAGAAAGCCGAAAAGGCCAAACCCGCAGCAGCAGTGAGCAGCAAACCCAACTTCTTCATTTAATTTAATTTAATTTAATTTAATTTAATTTAATTTTATTTTATTTTATTTAATTTTATTTCAGATGCAAAAGAAAGCTGCAGCAGAGAAGAAAAGCAAGAAGCAGCCTTTCTTTGCGCAAGTAGAAGAAGCGCAAGGGCAGCAGCTGCTCCCGCAGGAGCAGCAGCAGCAGCAGCAGCAGCAGCAGCAGCCACAGCAGCAGCAGCAGCAGCCACAGCAGCAGCAGCAGCAGCCACAGCAGCAGCAGCCGCAACAACCGCAGCAGCAGCAGCAGACCCCCACTCCCCCCCAGCAGCCGCAGCCGCAGCAGCAGCAGACCCCCACTCCCCCCCAGCTGCAGCAGCAGCAGCGGACCACCACTCCTCCGCAGCTGCAGCAGCAGCAGCAGCAGCAGCAGCAGCAGCAGCAGCAGCAGAGCCTCACTCCCCAGCAGGCGCAGCAGCAAATAGAGTACCAGTACCACCTGCAGCAAATGCAGCTCGAGACGCAGCGGCAGCAGCAGCAGCAGCTGCTGGCTCAAGCAGCAAATATTCCAACAGAAAAAGCCCCTCCCAGCTGGTTCTCGAAGCGCCGCAGAAATGCAGAGTGAAGCAGCAGCAAACAGTCCCAGTAGCAGCAGCAGCAGCAGCTGCTGCTGCTGCTGTTGCTCCTACAGTGCTGCAGTAGCAGCAGCAATGGCGCCGTCGTGCTGCTCTTTGTGCTGCTGCTGCTCAAAAGCTCTACATGCAGCAGCAGCAGCAGCAGCAGCAGCAGCAGCAGCAGCAGCAGCAGATGGTTGCTGCAGAAGCGACTGCGTCTCTTTTTTCTTCCTGCCGACTCAGTTTTAATTCATCACTATTTATTATTTATTATTTATTTATTATTATTATTTTATTATTATTTATTTATATATTATTTATTTATTATTATTAATTTATTATTATTTATTTTTTGTTTTTATTTTCTTTTAAATTTCTTTTGAAGTTTCCCAGAAAGCCCCAAAATAGTTTGCGCGCAGCCGTTCTTTCCATCATAATAAATAAATTCAAATTTGTTTAATTTCATTTAAATTTATTTAAATTAAATTAAATTAAATTAAATTAAATTAAGTTTAAATTTATTTAAATTAAATTAAATTTAAATTGAATTAAATTTAAATTGAATTAAATTCATTTAAATTTATTTAAATTCATTTATATTTATTTATAATCATTCAAATTGAATTAAATTGAATTTAATTTAAATCGGATTAAATTTAAATTGAATTAAATGGATTTAAATTGAATTAAATGGATTTAAATTGAATTATTTGGATTCAAATGGATTTAAATTGAATTAAATCTGTTTAAATGGAAATAAATCTATTAAATTGAATTAAATTTATTATATTGAATTAAATTTATTTAAAGTGAATTAAATTTATTTAAAGTGAATTAAATTTATTTAAATGGATTTAAATTGAGTCAAACTGAATCAAATCGATTCAAATTGAATTAAACTGATTAAAATCTATTTAAATAAATAAAAGTTGGTTTAAATTGTCCAAAACTTGTTTAAATTTATTTAAATTTAAATAAATTAAAACTGGTTTAAGTAAACTTAAATTGAATTAAATTCACTAAAACTTGTTTAAATAAATTTAAATTGATTAAAACTTGTTTAAATAGATTTAAATTGAATTAAATTTGTTAAAACTTGTTTAAATAGATTTAAATTATTTAAACTTGTTTAAATTGAACTAAATTGTTTAAAACTTGTTTAAACAGATTTAAATTGACTAAAACTTGTTTTAATAAATTGAAGTTTGTTTAAATTGACTAAAACTCGTTTAACTAGAATTAAATGGATTAAAACTTGTTTAAAATGATTTAAATAGAATTAAACAGATTTAAATAGACTTAAAGATTATTAAATTAATTAAAAATCGTTTAAACAGATTTAAAAAGAATCAAATGGACTAAAACTCGTTTAAACAGATCTAAACAGATTTAAATAGATTTAAATAGATTTAAATAGACTTAAATAGAATCAAATAGACTAAAATTGGTTTAAATAGAATTAAATAGATTTGAATAGATTTAAATAGAATAAAGAGAATCAAAATGACTAGAACTGTTTAAATAATTAAATAGATTTAACAGATTTAAATAGGATTAAAAAGAATTAAAATGAATCAAAATGACTAAAACTGTTTAAATAGATTTAAATATATTTAAACAGATTTAAATAAAATAAAAAAGAATAAAACGAATCAAAATGAATCAAAAGGACTAAAACTGTTCAAAGAATTAAATAGATTTAAATAGATTTAAATATAATTAAAAAGAATTAAAAACAATTAAATAGAATCAAAATGACTAAACTTCGTTTAAATAGATTTAAATACATTTAAATAGAATTAAAAAGAATCAAATGGACTAAAACTGGTTCGAATAGATTTAAACAGGTTTAAATAGATTTAAACAGATTTAAATAGAATAAAAAAAAATTAAAAACAATTAAATGGAATCAAAAGGACTAAAACTGTTTGAAGAATTAAACAGATTTAAATAGATTTAAATTGAATTAAAAGGAATCAAAATGACTAAAACTCGTTTAAATAGATTTAAATACATTTAAACAGATTTAATCGAATAAAAAAGAATAAAAAGAATCAAAAAGAATCAAAAGGACTAAAACTGTTTAAAGAATTATTAAAGTTGGTCGAAAGAAAAGAAAAAAAGAAGTTTTTGGAGTCGGCGGAATTTGGACTCTAAAAAGTTGGGGTGTACAGACAGCTGCGCGCAGTGGGCGACTTGAAATCCTGAATTGCATTTATTAAACATTTGAATCATTTTTGAATCATTTTTGAATTATTTTTGAATTATTTGAATTATTTTTGAATTATTTTTGAATTATTTTTGAATTAATTCATTTAATGCGAACTAAATCGTCAAACCAAATTGTCCGAGCTGCGTATACACCTGAAGAGCCAAACGGAGGCAGCGGCTGCAGCGGGGGAGCTGTACATACACCGCAGCGCCCGCCCGCCTCCGCCACATTTCCTTTCATTTATTTGCATTATTTTGCATTTATTTGCATTTATTTGCATTTATTTTGCATTATTTTGCAATTATTTTGCAATTAATTCCCTCGCGAGACTAAATGGAATTAAATTTGAAGTCCACTTCAAATGAGGCCCCTGCGGTGTACAGACAGCTCAAGTGCTTGCAGATAATCCGTTCCGCGGCCCAGGTGTACAGACACTTCAAATCGTCAGCTGCTTCCTCTTTCTCCGCTGCTGCTGCTGCTGCTGCTGCTGCTTCTGCAAGCTGCCCCTAGGCGTTAAACTAGAAAATAAAAAGGCGCCTTCGCTGCTGCTGCTGCTGCTGCTGCAGCAGCAGCAGCAGCAGCAGTATCTCGACGCCCCTGCCTCGCGCGGCGCTGGGACTTGCTGCAGCTGCTGCTGCTGCTCCGCAGCAGCAGCAGCAGCAGCAGCAGCAGCAGCAGCGGTCAGGCGTCGGGGAGCATCTCGTCGACCTGGTTGCGTTTTGCTGCTGCTGCTGCAGTGTACTCGTGCGCAGGCCCGCAAAGAATGTGCAGCAAATTATAAGCGTCTTCGAAGTGGCGGCCCGCGAGCCGCAGCCGGCTGTCTCGACAGCTGCTGCGCTGCTGCTGTCGAGACACCAGAACGTCCCCCAACTCTTCGTGCAGCCACGCCAGCGAGTAAGAAGCCACCGGCATCACCTGCAGCAGCAGCAGCAGCAGCAGCAGCAGCAGCAGCAGCAGCAGCAGCAGCAGCAGCAGCAGCAGCAGTAGTAGTGGTAGCGCAGAAACAATTAAAAACGGAATTAAAAACAATTAAAAATGGAATTAAAAACGGAAGAAAGAGCCGATTAAAAAGAACCAAAAGCCTCAAAAAGGAAGAAAAGGAATCAACCTAACCCAAACCCTAAACCCTAAACCCTAAACCCTAAAAAACAAAACTCACTGCATTCACGTATTCCAGGCGGCGCAGCTGATGCGTGTAAGCAGCTTCATAATCCCCGCAGGCTCTGTAGCCCTCAAACAGAATCGTGTCCAGCTGCAGCAAACCCCAAACCCTAAACCCTAAACCCTTAAAAACCCTAAACCCTAAACCCTAGAATCTAAAAGCCAGCGCGACAGCCGCCACCACCACCACCACCACTGCAGCAGCAGCAGCTGCGCTGCTGCTGCAGCAGCAGCTGCGCTGCTGCTGCTGCTGCTGCTGCGGTGGCACTGCAGCAGCAGCAGCAGCTGCGCTGCTGCTGCTGCTGCTGCTGCTGCTGCTGCTGCTGCTGCTGCTGCCCCTCCCCCCCGCTGCTGCTGCTGCTGCTGCTGCTGCTGCTGCTGCTGCTGCTGCTTGCCTGGAAAAGGACCCAGTGCTGGGTGAAGACCCTGGAGGCTTGTTCAAACACCATTTCAGCGTCTGGCAAATCCTCTTTGGTGGTTTCTTCCAACCTTTCGATGTACGCCTTTTCAAAACCCTCGTACTCCCCAATCGTCTCCGCCCCAGCCACAAACCCGCACACAGTGCATGCAA